AGACATTTTGATTTTGTAGATATTTCCTAGCAACCAAATTCTCTTGAGTTAATCACGAGTTTGCCATGTTTGGGGGAGCCAGAACAATAGTGCTGTAGGTAGGGCATTTGCCTTGCACACTGCTGACCGGGGTTTGATTCCCCAGCACCCCATATGGTCCACCAAGTCTTACAGGAGTGATCCCTGAGTACAGTGCCAGGAGTAAGCCCTGAGCACTGCTGGGTGTGACCCCAAAACAATCAATACCCCCAAAATAAGAGTTTACCATGTTTTTGATCTCTACAATTTTTTCCTCTAATAAATGTTTACATGCTAGCATCTTATCAGAAATGATTTGGAAAATGAATATTTTCCATCAGTCCCTAAAGTTTTTTTTCTCTTTAAAAATTTTTTTTTATTATTAGTGGATCACTGTGAGGTGTAATAACAGAGTTATAAACTTTTTTGCTTGCATTTCAGTCACACAATGATCGCTTACCCATCCCTCCATCAGTGCCCATTCTCCACCACCAATAATCCCAATATCCCTCCCACCACCCCCACTCTATCTCCTCCTTCCACCCCCTTCCCCATCCCACCTCTGTGGCGGGGCATTCTGTTTTGTTCTCTCTCTCCTTTTGGGTGTTGTGGTCTGCAATAGAGGTATTGAGTGGCCATCATGTTTGGTCTATACTTTCAGCACGCATCTCCCATCCTGAGTGGGTCCTCAAACACCCTGTACCTGGTGTTCCCTTCTCTGCTGAGCTGACCTCTCCCCCAGCATGTGAGGCCAGCTTCCAAGCCGTGGGGCAATCCTCCTGGTACTTATCTCTACTATTCTTAGGTGTTAGTCTCTCACCCCTAAAGTTAATTTTTAAAAACTAAACCTGAGACTGGAGAAATAGTAGAGCGGGTGGGGTGCTTGCCTTGCACTCAGCTGACCTGGGCTTGGTACCCCAATATCCCACATGGACCCCTGAGCACCACCAGGAGTAATTCCCGAGGGCAGAGTCAGGAGTAAGCCCCGATTATAGTCAGATATTGTCCTAAAGCAAAAAGAAACAAATAAAAACATTAAGCCTGGTTTACAATGGGGGAAAGCATTTTGTGTGGAATTTATCCAGATGGTAGGAAGATGATAGAAGTGGAAAGAGAGGAGATGGTGGTGACAGTGGCTAATACTAGAATTGAATTGAGAATCTGTGTAGTGGAAGGTGCGTGCAGGGCCCAACGGGTGAGGCCACAGAGTTGGGAGAACATAAGGAATGACCCATTATCCCGAGGACTCTCTTCAATCGAAATGAAGGTTCAACCCAATTTGAAAATCCTCTCCAGACCCTGGGAGGGGCTACACTTCTGTGGACAGTTCCCGACTGTCATCTCGAGGAACAGGAAATGACATGCCACAACACAGGTGACAGAGGGAATGTCTAACGGGCCTCACTTCCCGGGGTCTTGACCTGGAGCTGGAGGATATTATTTGAGGTCACACCCCAGCGAGAGCAGAGGCTGGCCTTTCTTGGGAACAGGACGACACGAACGGTGTCACAACATGGTCTGGGTACCTGTAAGGAAAACAAGTCTTATTTAAGTAGGCTGAGTTCTTAGTCACAGGTGAGTTGTGTGTTTCCTTTAATAACCACGGGGCCTTTGTAGAGTGTTCTTTGCACAAACAGCCTCTCCCAAATGGGCACCCACGCCACACTGTAAACACCCATGCCAGTTTACTTCCTACCTCCAGAGGCAGGCTTAGAGAATTATTAGATAACCATTGTGAAGCTAATTCACCCCACATGAGTAAGGCTTTAATTTCTGGTTTACCAGAGGACTCAAGTTTATAATCACTCTCTTTGCTCTCAGTGGAATAATGTCTTTTCTGGTTTTTCTAGTTCTTGCTCCACATGTATCAGGTAACATTTAAGTTAGATTATGTGGAGGCTGATTATAATATTCACCTGGTAGATTTTCCAGAACTTTTTTTTTTTATGGTTCATTAGTCACTTCAAATTGTGTTAATGCTTGCACCAACGGAGAGTGGTTAAGGGAAAAGTATTAACAAAGATAGAAATGATGAACAGACCAGAAAATTTTAAAGCAAAATTACTGGTATGGGATGACGATTTAAGAAATTGTCATTCCAGGGGCTGGAGTGATAGCACAGTGGGTAGGGCGTTTGCCTTACACGCAGCCAACATGGCCAATACAGGTTCGATTCCCAGCATCCCATATGGTCCCCCGAGCACCACCAGGAGTAATTACTGAGTGCATGAGCCAGGAGTAACCCCTGGCATTGCCGGGTGTGACCCAAAAAGCAAAAAAAAAAAAAAAAAAAAAGAGAAATTGTCATTCCAATACAAAATATATCATTTCGGTTGTGCTTCGGGACAGGGATTGTGGCTTGAGATGGAAACATCCCAAATTTGATGGTGGGAAGGGGTAATGGTGATGAGATTGGTGTTTGGACATTAACTGTAATCAAATATTGTGAACCACCTTATAAAATAAAAAAATTAAAAAAAAGAAATTGTCATCCATTTTTTGGTTCTAGCTGGAAAATTCACCAGTCAATTGTACTAATGTATGTAAATTATACAGTGACAGAGTACAGATACACCATTACTTCTGACCTACTAAGCTTGCAGTGTTTGCACGCAATCCTTGTCTCAGCTGTTTGCCTGAGTGAAATTCCCACTACTTTTGGTATGGTTTTGGGAGTTGGGACAGCATCTTTATCTACTGGCTTCTGTGGTATTTTCTGCATCTAAAATGAAAGATTCTGCATTTAACTGCTGTCTGGAAAAAGTACATTAACTTGCTTTCTTTTATTCATTCATTCAGAGTAATTATTGCTATCCCAGGCTCATGTGCATTTTTCCCAAACCATAATGATTTGAGACTTATAGAGTAGCGTAAAAGAACTGCTTGTTTTTTCAAGTTGGCAATTTTGTGAAGTCCATGGTAGTAATCTGAGCCATTTTTGGTTTCTAAAGATTTCATTTGTCCACAGGATGATTTCAGGGTTCATGCAATTTCTTACCTGAAGTTTAAAGCCCCGTATTCTGAAATTCCATTTTTAATTTCGCACATGTTGAACGCAGGTGTGAGAACTTGAAATAGGACACATATGCTCAGAGTTGCCTACATCCACTGTTTCAGAGCATCTCTGAGTTCTTTGTAATTAGTTTAAACGAAGCATGGGGGAAAGTCAGTCTTTTCAAATAAACAACATGCTTCCCTTAGGAATTTATACTAAAATGTGTATTTATTTTTAAAAACAAAATGATATGAACATAAGAAATGCTATACGGTTTCAAATCAATGGTTTACCCCGCCTGTAGCTTCAAGTTCTCGTAGCATTTCATTAATGTTGGCCTCAGAGTTTGGGTATTTATCTCAAGCTTCCTAATTTCCTTTAATACTCAATTGTGGATTTATTATTCATAGATTCATCTAAACCTTTAACTTGTTTGTACCTTCGGTTTATGTCAACTACAGAAACAATCAGTCCCTGGGGCTAGAGCTAGTAAAGCAGGTAGGTCATTTGCCTTAGATATGGCTAACCCAAGTTTGATCCCCAGCGTCCCATATGGTTCCCTGAGCACCACCAGGAGTGATTCCTGAGTGCAGAGCCAGGAGTAAACCCTGTGCACTGCCAGTGTGATCCAAAAACAAACAAAAAAAGAAACAACCAAATCTTCAGGCAAGGATACTACATCCCATGCATCATGACACTTATTTCAAGGGTTCGACCATAAGGGAGTAAATCACTGGGACGAGTAATTCAATCTATCACAGTTCTATTGGTCATAACCATTTTCATTATTCCACAAGCAAAATTCACCCACTGTAAACACCACCTCCAGAAAACAAAACAAGAAAAATGCATGAACCAAAGTTGATCATGGTATATGCCAAAAGAAACCTCAGTATAACTCCTGCTACTCGATTTCAAGACCTATACACTCAAGTGAATTTTTAAAAATAGAATCTTATCTTCTACATATCTAGAGCAACTTCTAAGATGACTCCCAATGTCCCCATCTCTTGGTATTCATGGACTTGTGTTATCTTCTTGAGTAACATGCTTCCTTTGAATAGAGAACAACTTTGAGGGGAATAGCCCTTTTGTGATTGGGTTATGTAAGGTCGTGCCTTCCATCTTGTGAACTCTGTCTGTCTCTCTCCACTTCTTTCTCACATTGATTTGATGAAGCACCCTCCTGAAGAAGCTGACATGACAAGGACGAGATTTCTCCTGTAACGCTCAGGTACAGGCATGAAGCAAGTAGACATTTAGGTGTAATTAGGGTTGGAGTTTTGGCATGTAAGCGAAGGAGGGAATGAGGTGATGGGACTTAAGAGCAAAGGAATAATTATATAATGTACCTTGGACTTTAAAGTGGGGGAAAAGATGTAGTTTAAACATGAAGGAGATAATAAGCAAGTGGAAAATTGGAAGCCAATGGATTGGAGTTGCAAGGATTTGAAAAAAATTTTGTTCAATGGGACATGCTATGTCAAAGGGGCAGGAAGACTCTGGAAGGTTTACAATTCAGACTTGATATTTCTGGAGGTAGGCTATTGTGTGTGACTCTGGGATGAAGGCATGAGGAAAACTATATTCGAGTTACCTCTCTCCAAGATTTTCTAATTCTAATTCCACTTCGCCTTCTCAATTTGATAAGCCAAGCTTCCATTAGCAGGAGAAAATTTCAAATGAATGGAATTGGAAAATGCTGAGTAGAAAAGACCACGTTGTTTTCTCTGACTCCCTTAGAATGTTCACTCGGGAAAATCAACCATCACACAAGCTGTCTAACGACCACACGCTACTCTTCTGGAAAGACCACAGAGGGCTCTGGTTAACAGTTCTAGATGAACCTCTCGCCCAACCACCCCACCCAAGTTCCAGATGAATGAAGCTGTCTAAACCCTACAAGATAAGCTAGCCAGTATCTGAATGACTTGGTGCCACAAGAAGTCCAATTGCCCACTTGAATTTTTTTTTTTTTTTAGTTTTTATTAGTGAAACACCATGAGGTACAGTTGTAGACTTACAAATTTTTGTGCCTGGATTTCTTAAGCTACCTAATTTATAAATTAGTATGAAATGTTTCTGTTTTGCAAAGTTATTGTTTGTTTTCAGTGCTAGGATTTGGCCCATACATGGAAGGCAAGTTCTCTATGGCTACGTTACACCTTCAGCCCAGGTTTGCCAGTTTCTCTGCTGTTGGGCCTCTTCCGAGAACTCCAGAATGATATATTCAACTGCCTTTAGAACATTTCAACTTAGATGACTAAGAGGTACCTCAAATTTATATGTCCCAAAATGACTGTGTCCTCTGCCCTGTTCTTCCCTGTTCTAGTTAAAAACAACTTAAATCTTCCAGTTATGCAGGTAAAAAAAAAAAAAACTTGGTGTCATTCTTCATGTCTCTTTATTATCCTATAGCCACTATTTTAGAGAACAGTATATTCCAATTACATCTAGATTTTGACTTTTCACCACCATTCACACTACACTGGCCCAAGCTGCCACCATCTATCCCCTGCACTACAAGTCTCCTTACAGATCTTTTACTGCCCATGCCCGTGTTCATCTGCCATCCCCAGAGGGATCAGGCTAAAATGTTGGTGTATCTCTGTCCTCTATTCAGAATTCTCTGACCCTTCATCACAGTCAGAGTAAGCAGAAGCCAATGATGTCTCCATTAGGATGGCTTGTGTCGACTGTACATAATGCAATAAAAAAGAGGAGGGTCATGCATTTTTTGAAATGTACAAGGTTTCATTTTCTCCACATGTTGCCAACACTTGTTTCAAATCTTTTTTGGTTACAGCCATTTCACAGGTGTTAGGTGACAGCGATGTGGTTTTGATTAGCATTTTCCTGATAATTAATGATGTTGATTATTTTCATGAGTGCTGATGATCACATTTCACGTATGGGTTGGCCATTGGTATGTCTTTTGAAATGTCTACTGAATGTCTACTGAAATCTCTGCTTTGGTATTATCCTTCACCCACATCAAGGTCGAAGACAGTGATTTTAGTTCTTTATTGTCTAGTATTCCTCTCCCCCCAGTCAAAGAGAAGTTCCATAAAGTAAGCAAGTTTATCCAATTTGTTTACTGCTGTTTCTCTGGAATTCAGAAGAGTATGAGAACATTCAAGCCTTACTTAGGGAATGATACATTTTCTCAGAACAGTTTATGCCATCTCAGTGACAACTAAAAACAGGAAATGGAGGAAGATACAGTTAAGGAAAATTCTAACACAGAGCTGTAATGATGGTTTTCACTTAGTTCTTCTTTCAGTCACGCATTCAGGTTTTTAGTTGAATTCTTGAATATTTTAGTTCAGTCAGAAAGGAGTGGCTATGCTAAAGCAAAATTCACTTATTTTTTCCCGGTATTCCTCTTCTGACTTTGAGCCTCTGTCTCCTGGAGTCCTAGGAGAACTGCATCCGCCTCTAGTATGGTTGTATCTGTTGTCGCTCCCAGAAACCTCGATGTGAGTTCAAGGTCTAACAGCCGCAGCCGAACTCTGCTTCCCTTCTGGTATTTCCTAAGTGGCAAGAAAGAAAATGCCTATTAATCTGTTACGTTATGACATGAATTTAGCAAAAATAAAAAGGCAGGCACTAGAATCTAAGAGACTGACAGGAAAAAAACTGTTAGTTAGAATCTAAGGCACCGTTAATGATTTATGCCAAAATTAAAAAGCATCCTCGAATGAAATTCAAACAAGCCAGTTCTTCAAACTGACATTTATTTTTTTAAAATGTCATTCTATTTTCTTTTTTGAGCCATATTTGGCAGTGCTCAGGGTATACTCTTGGCTCTGAGCTCAGGGTCACTCCTGGTGTGTGAGGGGAACATCTGGGATGCCAGGGATCAAGTCTGAGTCAGCTGTGTGCAAGGCAAACACCCGACCTGCTGTACTATCACTCTGGCTCCAGAGATATCATTCTTTCTTAATGTCTGTCCTCCCGTTGTTCATCGATTTGCTCAAGCGGGCCCAGTAACATCTCCATTGTGAGACTTCTTGTTGCTGTGTTTGGCAGATTGAATACTCTCAGTAGCTTGCCAGGCTCTCCGAGAGGGGCAGAGGAATCGAACCTGGCTTGGCCAGGCTGCCTGCGTACAAGGCAAACGCCCTACCACTGTGCTATCACTCCAGCCTTCTTAATGTCAGAGAATATCAAAAAGAAAAAAACTCTACGAAAATCTATTCCCTCTAAAATTAAAAAAAAATTTAAGTAAATTGTACTACCGTGTAATATATTCAAGTATTTTATAATGCTAAATGAACACTGATATCTATGTTTCTTCCTTGAACAATTATTTTCATTCAAGATCATTAGGAAAAGTATAGTTACTGATTGAAAAACCAAAAATCTTTAAATATCCAAATATATCCTTCATGTGTTAAATCTAAAACTAAAATAATTTTATATAAACAGAAAACGAAACAAAATTCTCATGGTGCTGATAATTTTTGCAGATCAAATAATGTATAATATCTCCAGTGCTTGATTAGTCATTCTACAAGAATTTATAAATGTACAGGCAAAGACATTAGGTTGTCTTTTCAAAAAAAGTTATTTTCTAACTGTAGAAGTAAAGGTTCTTCTGTAAAAAATGAAGAGTTGTCAGACATAACATCTAGTCCTAAAAGTATATTCACAACATGTTTCATATATGTATTTGGCAGCACAGATCAAAAAAAATTTAAGAATACACTGTTAATGTAGGCATACTTTATATTCCCAGAATATAAAAATTAAAGAAAATGTTTCATGTGTATTAAGTACTGGGGAAATAAAGTGAGCTCACAAAAAAGGCAAAACTAAACACCATTTTCTCCATTATTTGGATCTGTAACTAGTATTCTAATTCTCTTATTGGCCCCCACACAAATGATGGTGATTTATTTGATCAGCTTTAGTATTCTCACTCCTTCTCACTTCCTCTGCAATATCCAATTAGGTGTTCCAATTTTGTTCATTTATTAGCAGATACTTCTTGGACTCAGCCCTTCAAGTATTATTACCCCTTCTCACAGCTTGAGTTACACTGTAATCTTCCTAGAGCTCAAATTTCCAATCCATTCCTCAGGAGAAGTTCTGTACCTCCTATGTTTAAGTAGAAATGGCCATGTGTCCATTTGTGTCCAAAGAGCCTCAACACCCCTTCCCCCTCCCCCCCCATTCCAGAATAAAGACTCTTGCTGAAATTCCCGGGAAGAAAGAGGTTTTGAAGTCATAAAGATTCAGGCCGCAAATCTGAGCCTTACTATGTAAGTTAGCTGGGGAACCCTGAGTAGCCAGCCCACTTTCTTAACATAACTTTCCCTTCTATGTAAGACATCCTAATCACTTGGTAGGTTTGCACAGTGAACGTAATGTCAGCGCCCCTCACTTAAGTCAACCTCTGAATTCTCATTAGACTCTAGGCACCCCAAGGTAAATTTATCTCTCTATCCTTGTGTTGGGCTGGAGCAATAGCACAGCAGTAGGGCGTCTGCCTTACAAGCGGCCAACATGGCCGACCCGAGTTCGATTCCTCCGCCCCTCTCGGAGAGCCCGGCAAGCTACCGAGAGTATCTCGCCCGCACAGCAGAGCCTGGCAAGCTCCTCGTGACGTATTCGATATGCCAGACACAGTAACAAGAGTCACAATGGAGACGTTACTGGGCCCGCTCGAGCAAATCGATGAACAATGGGAGGACAGTGATCCTTGTGTTAATGCAGAATGTACTCTCTCCACATTATGAGATGCAGTAGCAGCCAATACTAAGAAACGCTCCATCTTCCTTACCAAAACTCATGGAAAGGTCCCACTGAGCTGGCAAAGAAGATGAAAGGCAAGGTACAGGTCACTCCTGTGTGTTGAATAACTGAAGACTCTTCTAAATGCAAATATTGTGCATGAAACAAAGGTCTTGAGAAGATTCTGGCATGTCAGAATCTCGAAGATTCTGATTCTGAAGTTACTTCGGAATAACTTGATTTTTATGGTACTTGTGCTATATTTCCAAGTGGACTGCAATCTTATTCTGGGTAAGAGTCAATCACATCTACGTTTCTCACAATATCAAGATGGATACAGTGTTAACCCCTACACCATGTCGCCAGTTCCACAGTTCTGAATACGACGTAAATCAAAGGAAGCAAGCTCAAATGATGACCTGGCAAATCTATGGTGGGGTTTAGAAATCTGTTGTTTTAACAACCCCGTAGGTGATATTGCTATGGCTATGGTACCACTTGAGCAAATCTGGCTTAGAATCAACCTTTACTGCGTGTAATCAACTACAGAAGGGATGAAAGGAGACCCTGCACTAACACCAAGGCCAGTATGAAGAGGACCCAAGAAGTCCCTGGCCACCATTCCCGACTTTTGAGAGTAAGAGATGTTTTTCCTAAGTGACTTCTGAGTAGTTTAGACAGACCAAGAATAAAAAGTCGATCCAAGTCAGCGCAAAGAAGACAGAAAGGAGAAATACCTTAACAAGAGTCTGAGAGCAGGAGGGACAGGTCTACTGAAGCGTGTGCATGCCTCACCCACGCCCCACCACTGGTACCCCACTATCCCCCTGAGCTCTGCCAGGAACAAGTCCCAACCACTAAGCTGCGAGCAGCCTCTGAGTGCCACTGAATTTGGCCCCGGAATCAGAGGCCCCAAGAGCCTGGTGTCGACTGCCTTGTCAGCACAGCTCACTCTGGGGAACCCAGGTCATGGAAAGGTCGGGGCATCTCTCCCTCAAGAGGCGCCAGTAGTCATTAAGTTAGAGTGGACGTTTCCCTCTTGTCTTAATTTTGAAATATGAAAGGCAAAGAAAAATGAATGTATTTCTGAGAAGTCTGCTACTACCATGCAGTCTGAGGTGACTGTGATCACCTTCAGGGCTGTAATCTCTGATAATCGCTTTCACTACTTACTCTTCCTGCCTGTTACACCTGATAAGATTAACTCATTAATTTTATTAATGCACTGTGATTTACAAAGTTGTTTAACAGCAGAATTTCAGGCACGCACTGTTCCAACAGCAGTCCCACCCCCAATGTCCCCAACCCCCACCATATCTCCCGGACAGGAATATTTTCTAATTTGGTGCTGCAGCGTCGGTGCTGTGGGTTACATATACAGCATCCTTACACCAACAATGTGTCCGAGGCCTCTGGTCCCTAGCCTTCTTACTCCTTGTCCACCTCTCATTTCCTCCCCCCTGTTTCTTTTCTTTCAGGTCCAATTTTCCTACTCTGGATCCAGGGTAGCAGTTATTCCTCATCCCTTTTGACACATGACAAGATTTAAAACGAACATGCTAGTAAATTATTTCCCCAGATTCTGTGGTCTTTAAACTGTCACCGTATTCAAAGATTCTTACAGGAAGAACTGGAGAGAGAATATAGCACTTGTCATGTGGATGACCCCGGTTTAACCCCCAGCACTGCACGTGATCTCCCAAACCCCACCAGAAGTCATCCTTAAACTCAGAGGAAGGACTAAGCCCTGAGCACTAACAAGTATGGCCCTCTCTCTCCCTGACCCTCAAAATGCTTGAAGAGGCAAGCAACACATGATTAAGAGTGGGGACTCCGAGTGGGTCAGTTACTTTATCTTTGCCGCAGCATCCTTATTTGTAAAATGAACATATTTATGATTGTCTCTTCGATTCTCGTATGAAATGAGTTACCACACTCCAAGTCCTTATAAAGTTCAATAAATGTTAGCTACCATCACCAACCACCTCCTCCGACTCCTGAGGAAGCACAAGAGCTCTCCTCGGTGTAATTCCAAGTTATAACTAAATCAACAAGGAATCCCGATGGAAGGAAGTCTGGGGGTGCATTTTCTTTCAGGATTTGCTTTGGTTCAAATCCTACTTATTTTAATGTCACAAGCATTCCTCCCCCCAAGTATGCCATAAATGTTCTATATAAATAAAACAATTTCCTTTGAAATAAATGTTGTTTATGTTGGGAGTGCCTGATACAATAGCCACGAAATACACAAGTGAAATGCAGAAAATTACATAGTAACAGTCCACATTTCTCAATATTTAATACATTAGCTGGAAATAAGAAAGTAGGACTATATAATTCATCACAAAGGGTCACAGTGATTATCTACTGTAGTATTCTCTTCAACACTGGATCAAGGATGGCTGAGAAAGAGCCCTCTAACTTCACCTGACTGCGATCACTTTTCAATCTTCTACCATTGTGGTGGCGGTATGAGAGGCCCAACCCAGGGCTTCACACATGCAAGGCACGTGCTCTACTACTGAGGCACTTTCCTGGTGCTTCATTTATTTTTTGATAAAGCCACTCATGTCTAAAATAGCATTTTTAGCAATGCCATTTCTAGAAGGAGGAAGCTTTCTTCTATGGGTTCACTGAACTTCCAAAAAGCATTATTCGTAGCTTCTTTTCAACAGCAGATTTCTAGCCTAGTCAGCCATCACCTTTCATGTATGTTTTCTTTCAATAATGGGATTTTAGATTTTAAATATTCTTCTGCTAGTTTTTTTTTGTTTCCCAGAAAAAAAAATAAAAA